CGTCAAACCGACGTCAATTTGATATCATTTTGACGTCAATCAACGAATCATTTTTCACTAGGTATATAGATATCTCAAACATGAAGTCTTAAATAGCTCAGTGGAAAGAACGATTGTCTGGCAAGCGGAAGACTTCGAGTTCGATCCCAGCCGAGTTAAGTATGATGTTTTTCATCTCATATGGCATTAAAAGTGGACATCTACAGAACACACAAAAGCCAGCAGCACCCCAGGCCAAAGTTTTCTGATCTTTCTTTTGTGTGGATATAATAAAATTTATTAAATCCAAAGAAATCTTTTTGAGTTGAAGTAATTCTATATGAATACTCTAAGAAGTTCTGAGGAACCTCCAATCATGATGTATGTAACTTCCTAAATCATTCTTATAGTATTCTTCCACGAATTCCTTAGGAAGTACAATTCAGGAAAGAAGAAAACTTTAAGAACACTTAAAGAATTTATCATGCTATCTGGATAAGAGAAATTGATATACATGGCCATATATTTAAAAAGGACCTATATAAAAAAACACAAATATTTTTGATATCTTGACAAAAATAGCAAACATAAGTAAAAAATATTGGTTTATAATAATATTTACCAGTGGTAAATGTATTGTGATTTCATAAACTAGCGGCAAAAATTACAGACAATCTTTCTTTCTGTCTACGATGATACATAATCATATACCTGAGATAAACGCCACGTAATATCTTTATGATCATGAAGTATTGCACCAGCGATTACAAGATATCCAGTAATACACATATGCCCTTTGATATAATAACCTCCGAATTCCGGCCGTTATGTCTTTATGGCAATATTAATGTGCTATGGGGGTAATCAGTGATATTCAGTATGATATTTCTGTATGGGACGTTTATTCAAATAATTTTTTCAATTTTTATTTCGATCTTTTTTCCAAAAAACACTTTATAGTTTCCTATCTCTACGGATGTTTCACCTGATTATAAATAAATTAAATATCATAGATATGAGATAATTTTCTTCGTATTTTCTCTCTTTGATATGTCATTATTGACGGAGTTCATAGATTACATAATTATTCTTTTTTCACTTTAGCTATAACTTTACACTACTTTAGCTTTCACTTTAGCTATTCACTTTAGCTTATTTTTTTTTTACTTTGACCTTGGATATCCTGAAATAAAAAAGAAAATGTTATATTGATTGTACACACAAAAGAAGTCTGTATTTGAAGTACTTACGACTATTGTGTTATTCTTCTCAACAACAGTCTTGTTACTTTCGGAAAATAACCATTTCGATAAACTCCTAAATGGCATCTCAATACATATTGCGAGAAGTAATGAAATCAGAAAAGAAATTATCAATAACGGAATAGTATCCCATACCTGGATAAAAGAAATTATGAAAGAAATCTAGCGACTAGTGTGAGATATTACTATTGCTTAGTGTACTTGCTGTTTCTAAAAATAATAAACAGAAATATCATCAATTCTTTTATGCTTACTGTTTTCCCCATACTAAAAGTTCTAGCAGTCCTTATTTGTCCTATGTCAATTGTAACAAATACTATGTGCACGAGATAAACTCCGTAGCATAAGTTTGCTAATGGTTGTGCCCATCGAGGAGTTAAGAAATTATAGTAAAATTCTATCGAAAACAAGTATAGAAAATATTAGCCTAAGGAAAAGTGATATATTTCTGGTTATACAAATTCTGGTTATACAAATAAAGTGACGCTGTTTTTAATATGTGTGGTCTTCAAAGCTTCTTTGAAGTAAGCTTGTATCTGAACAAAGATATTATAACTTATATCATAGAAACCAGTTTCATAAAGGAGCAGATTTGACTATCTGGGTAAGTGTGTACTTAGTTGCGGTATTGTGTATTATTAAACAAAAAAAAATATCGTAACATCAAATTGAACTATTTTACATAGTGTATATCATACCTGACTGACTGCCAATGGATAACAAAACTATTGTAGAACACAAACACAATGCGATAATAAGCCTAAAAAAAAATGCAAAAATTGCTTCTTCCAACTGATTTGTGTTGTCTAATATCAAAAATTTATATGCCCAATATTGAATCGAAATGTAAAAAATTAAGGGAATCGGGCAAACCAATATGTGCGACCAGTACTGAAAACGTAAAATAATATAAGTTATATATATGCATAAAATGTTTCTCAATTGGAGTCAATTAATATGGGGTCCTGCTTTAGTTATTTTTGCTCCGATATTTTTCTCACTTTCGCACTATATGAAAAAAATTCGGCACGCGGGTCTGTGCGTCGGCTGGCCCCAAACCTCGCACACTCCCAATCTTTATCAAAGATGAGCAACAAAACGGCCGGAATTTGAAGAAAATTATATCAAAAGACAAATGTGTACAGGATATTTTGTTGATATAATCGCAGATGTTAGG